AGTTGTTTTGCCAATTAGGATTAGTGATAATTAACTATGATTAGTAAGCTCTAATTAGGATTAATTAAGTGAAGTATGATTAAGGTAAATTAGATTTCTTAGTCTTAATCCTAGTTGATTAAGTTTAAGGAATGGAGGCTGGTAACTTTTTCGAACTTTTGCCCTACCTCACCAAATAAAAGCTTAAGATGTCAAACAAAAAAGAAGAAAATTCTGTTGGAGCCTAGAACTAATGAGAGGAAGGAAGAGAAAAGAGGAAGAAAAGAGAAAAAGAAGAGAGAAAAGAAGGAAGGTCCAAGAATTCCACCACAACTCACTGACAAATCTAAGGTAAGATTTCTGTCCTAATTCTTGTAGTTGACATTCCTAACATCTAAGATTGAAAAGAAACTAGGATCAATTTGGTTCAAGAATGAAGAAATAAGGGAAAGAATGAGAGAGGTTTGTTTAAATTGATGAACTAGCTAAGAAGTTTAAGAATTCATCATTTTGATTGAAGTTTCGATTTTCTTGATGCATTTGAATCTTTATTTTATATCTCCTTCTAATTTTCAAGAGTTTTCATGTTTAAATTCATGTTTTAAGAAGGGAGGAAGGAAGGTTTTAAAAAGAGCTTGAAAGGAATTAAGTTCAAGAATTCCTTAACTTGAACCATGATTTTGATGATTGAATCTTGGAATTTCATTGTGTTTTGATGTTTTGATTTGGAAAACAATCATATTTTCATGTTCATCATTGATTTTACATGTTTTAGGTTAAGTTGCACAAGCCCTAACTCAAGAAGAATGAAAGAACAAAGCTTAGAACTTGCTAAATTTTCGAACAGCATGAAATTACCTAGAATCACACGTGTGGTGGGGGTACCCCCATGTGCGGCCAATGTTCACAATTCAATTCTAAAAAAATAAAAAATAAAAAAGGCAAGTGCGGGCCACACCTGCCCTAGCCAATTCGCACGTGCGGTTTAGGTCTGGCATGTGCAAAAATTCCCCATTTCTTATGCACTTTTGTTTCTTGACCCCCTCTCACATAGGACACTTCTTGTATGCAATTGGCACTTAGTTAATACTTGAATTAGACCTAGAATAACACTAAACACTTGAGATAATTTAAGAAAAACATTTAACTAAGTTTAGATGAAATGATTGTTATGTTTGTGCAAGTAAGTTAGGAACTTCAATGTTTTATTCTTGTTTTGTATAGGTTACGCTTTGAAGAAGATATACCCTCATTCACGGAGTCAATTGTAAGTAGTAATATAGTAAGGCTATGTTCACTAAAGTTATTATTCAAAATGTAAACTTATGATATGTTTAAGAAAGCTATGTTATTGTTTTGTTATGAATGAACATCCTATCTTTTTGTATCATGTACTAAGGTGACATCTTGGATCATGTTTGTTATTGGGAATCATGCCAATAACCTCTAGCTAACTGAGCTCCTCTACCCACTTCTTGTGGATTCACCTTTTGAAATGCCTTGAAATGTACCCCCACTAAGTATATGTTTGCAAGTTAAGCTTGTTTAATCTTGACAAAGTTATACTATATTCAAATGATCATCTGCTTGGTTTTAATAAAAGTTATCGATGTTCATTCATTTACGACTTTACTATATTGTTATTCACTAGGCTTTGACTCATCCCTCTCCCCTATATGTATGTAAGTGATGGTGATGATCAGGTTGAAGAAGAGAGATCGAGTTAGAAGTCTTTTTCTTTTTATTTTACAACTTTTTGATACGCCAGTTTAGAAAAGATAGCCTTGTATATATGTTTTGGTTTTTGTTTAGTGTATGTTTGTAAATATTGGTTACTTTTGTTGTTTGGACTTGTAAATGTCAAAATAAATAAATAAAAAAGCTTGCTTGTTTTGTTTCATATGACTTGCGCACATAATTTAAATGAACTATGGTAATTAATGGCAAGTGTTTCTGTATAAGCCCCAATATTTTTGGTCCAGTCTTGTCTTACCTAGTCTTGCTAGGCCTTTGGTAGTAAGGCACTATTGGCTGGTCACAACGGCTATCCTATTTCAGGTGGAATCGAGTTGTGACACTAATGTTATGGCCTTGAATGACATTGGCAAATGGAAAGCATTATTGTTGTGACCGCATTTGACTGTGAAAGAAAAGAGTTGTGAAATAATATGAATAGCTACATGATATAAGCAACACTTGATCATGTTCAGAAAATATATATAAAACTTTTGGATGATTCACAGAAATTGGAAATCTTTTTCATTGAAATACGACGTGAAATTGTGCTTCTTTTCAAAAAGTTTTGAGCAAGCTTCTTTGGTACACAAGAAAAGAGTTTTCAAAGAAGAATGAGGAAAAATTCTTTCACAACACAAGATGTGTAGATAAACTTTTAACCGTGCGTGAGAGTTTTGTGTAATAAATTGAGTTCAGATTGTTAGTTATGTAGTTGTGTATCTCCGTCTTTATCAATTAATGTTATTAAAGCTCGTTGAGTTAGAGGACCACCCTTGAGAACCGATTTTCTTTGGGAAGTCATCTTTCCTTGGTGAACATCAAATTGAGAAATTCTTGATCAGAGTACGAGTTTAATTTGGGTTTTGGATTGTAGAATGAATCGGTGGTTGTGTTGTGTTGCTAAGTAGTTGAGGCGTGAGTAACATTTATGTATGTGCGATTGGAATTCTTTGATTTAAACTCTAGCCTTGTAAATTACAATGAGTTTTTGTAAATTACAATGAGTTTTAGTCATTTTAAATCCTCTTCTGGGTTAGATTTTTCTCACTTTTCTCTCTCCCTTATTTCTATTTTCTCCATTTCTGACCCTCTAAGTTTTTCTAATCTAGAATTCATCTATTTTCACCAAAAATCTACCCCTAATTCTAGAGGCAAAGCGTAGACCACGGTGAGATCGACATTTTGAACCAATTGGATCGTGTTTTCCATGACATCACTTCGTGGGTCTTCTCTCATCGATTTTCTCCCTCGAGGTAGGAATTTCCATACTTCCCTTTAATACTTTCGTATAGATAAATGTGCGGTATTTTTTCTATTGCATAAAAACAACCGTAAAGTGTAGTGCATTGAGCTAGGGTCCACTTACTTTCCGGTTTGTGCCCGATAAAGCGTGTTGTGGAATTGATGACTTAATACAAGTTCTGTTGAGAATTGAAAGGTGCCCAATTGTCCTTCCGTGTTGAGATCGGTAAATGTGGGAAAATGTAATGCTATTGTGAGATTAGTCAAAATTGAATGGATTTAATGATATTAAGATAGATGGGCCTATGTGTGTAAATGAATTAGTGTTGTGTATAGTTGGCATAGTGTCATAAAGAATTGGATTCTTTTTAATTGTTTGATAGTATGATAGATGTCGGTGTGTATAATTGGTGTTATAAGAATTATAGTAAGTTGACATTCGTTGTGTGATAGTCGTTGTTGGTTATGGATTAGAATGTGTGTATGATTGAGTGGTGTAAGATCCATTTCTGAAGTAAAAGAGATTTGAAGAATTCTTTTGGACCATTAATGATAAGATGAAAAGGTAAGAAATGAGTATTTGTTGAATTATCAAAGTGGAATTTCTGTGAAAAAGATATATATTTATGTATGTTTATTTTGAGTATAAAATGACATATTATATAGCTACTTACCATTCAAAAGCATTCATGATAACATATATCTGTAGATCTTATTTTTTGGAATCACTGTGAATCTCTACTGGACCTTTGTGTTCATCCCTATTATTAGACAAATTTTCAAGTGCAAAACCATATGTGTCGTCCAAAAATTATGGAGTTAATTTATTATGGATTTGAAAACTAGTTGATCGCAGGCAAAAAGGCCAATTTTTGTAAACATACTGTATTTTATTCATTGTGATTATCTTTATCTTAAAATTTCAAAATGTAAGCCTAAGGACATGTATTATAATTGGTATGTGAACATTATATTATTTCATTTATGCAAGAGGGAACTTTATGTTATCTATCTTGTCTGGCTTGTGCAACAGTAATTTGGAAATGGACTTTAAGAAAAAGAGATTTGGAAATTGATTTGAGGAATGAAATTTGGGGGTGTGACAACTTAGTATCAGAGATATCAAATTTGAAAATATTTAGCTCGTGAAATGTGGTTTTTACCATAATGGGTTTTGCTTCATTTGGTGAGGATGCATGCATATAGAAAGACTAGGAAATAGGACGTAATATGCAACATTTGTTTAAGCATGAGGTTAAGTTTCAAGGATAATGTTTGTGGCCAGTTAACTTGCTTGGAGGTCGCATTAGAAGCACACTTGATCAATGTGATTTCTGGTAAGAATTCTTTACTTAAGCACAAATAATTAAAAATAATAAGAAATTAAGCTAATTAACATATGATTTCAGATTATATAAAGTAAATAAACAACATCTGCTAACAGGAAAAAAAAAGGGGGGGGTGTAAAGTTCACTGTTCTAAAACTATTTGTTCTCTCTTTTTGAAAAGTGCTCACAGAGGTCCTCTTCTAGAGCTCACGAACACTAATGCTGTGTTTGATTGAAGGATTTAAGGAGGGATTTGGAAAGGGAAAGGGAAAGGGAAAAGGAAAAAATGTATGAAACTAGGTGAAATGTAAATATATTTTATTCACATTTCACCTACATTTTCCATTTCTCTTTCCAAATCTCTCCTCAAATCCTCCAACCAAACACAGCATAAGATATTTGAACCAAACCACAAATCAAATTGCCCAAAAATAATATTACAATATAAAGATATATATATATATATATAGGGTCATTATTCCTACTCCAGTTTGTTCTAAATACACTCATTTTTGTGTTTTTATTATGCAGTTACTATTGTCACTCGACTTTACTCTATATACACTCCTCTCCATATATAAAGTGGAGTAAAAGAAGTATATTTGGAATAAAATGGAGAGAAAATAACGGTTTGTACCCAGATTTATTTCATGCTCTAATGGTAACCCTTGCAAAAGCAAAAAGAATGAGAAGGTTGTTAGAAAAGAAACTCACAAGAATAGATTAAGTGTTGCCAACGATTCAGGCGACTACCACTTGAGAATGCTGACGCACTGTAAGCCATAGCTTGCAAGGCGTACTTACCATCGTCTAATTTTGACATAGCTAATTCGGGATAGCGACGAACCAAATTCAAAGCTATATCTGTAGAAAAAATAAAATTAAATAAAATTAAAATTAAAATATAAAAAATAAAAAAGGCTAAATATCATCAAATCATTTGGCTAATCACTTCGTCTCTCTTTTTTTTTCCCATGTTGTATGGTAAGTCTCAATTTTGTTTTACATATAGTGGTCCTACATACAGACATACTTTTAGGGCATGTTTGATTGGGTTGATTAGAGTATAGGATTGTGATTATTAATCCGTAGGCCCAATTATTCTATATTTGTTTTAACATTTTGGTTTAGGATTATTAATCCAATTGATAATTAATCTAACAAATTTATAGGATTATTAGTAATGGGGTAGGGGTGAGATTATTAATCCAATGGATATTAATCCAATTGGATAATAAATACCACACTAATTTAATAGGATTATTAATACTTCACTATTAGTCTTGTGAATCAAACATGACCTTATTGTATTAAAAAATAAATAAATAGATGAAATAAATTGGATAATTAAAAATATTTCTCAAAATATATATATACACATATATATATATATATATATATAAGAGTCAACTTATCATACAAAGCAGGTACTCATACTTCTGGACAAGTATCTCTCATTCATATCATGCATGTCTCTCTAACTTGTATGATACATGACCTCTAATAACCATATGTTTGTTTCATTGAAAAACAAATGTCTTTTGGTATTTGGTGTTTAAAAAAAAAAAAGGTTAATAATAATTAATTAATTAATTAATTAATTAACAAAAACTTTATCCTTTTTAGTCAATATAAAAAATAATTGATTATTTGAACATAAAATATTTTTTATTTTTTGAAGCTGAATGACATTTTCCCGGTTCCACAACTATCATATGGTTTTTAGAATTGCAACCAAACATAGAATTTGTGTAGATGACATTTTTACTGAATATAATTTCTAAAAATAAAATTTATACAAACAAACGGATTGTAAATAAATTATAAATTGAAACTTATACAAGCGGCGGACACATAAATCTTATTAAGATGGGGCCAAATTATTTACAGTAAAAATATTAACTGCAAAATTTATTTTGTCACACTATTACCATAGTTTTGTACGTAAAAATTAATAAACTTCTTTTAGACATTGTACAAAATATATAATCAAAACATAATAACATATAATTATTTTTTTTCACATTGATTATAGCAACCCTGAATCCTAACTAACACCAATTAAAGTAAAAACCAAAGCCCATTTTGGTCATAGCCAAAGTCACAGCAATAAATTATAACGAATACCATTTTGATATGTAATCAAAATGATAATGGAATGTAACTAATTTTCATTTAATAATTTGCTAGCATTTTCCCCTAATAGCCCATAACTAAATACCATAATAATTGGTAACTAACATTAAATTAGACAATAACTTGCATATTAATAGTGTGGGGACATAATTTTTGGTGTCATCCACGTGGCCGAGGTTGATGGTTGAGGTGCCATGTGGAAAAGGACATATTGTCGAGGTATCACAGGAGTAAACTACATTGCCGAGATATGGTGCAGTATTGTCGGGATCCGGGATAATCGGATAAAGGATAGGAGTCTAGATGTGTAGAAGAACTTTGTTGGGATAGGGATAAGGTTCTCAAGAGATATCATCCTTATCTAGATGGGAGTCTTGGATAACTGTTACACTGCAAGTTCCATGGAATGAGACTTCTGGGGTAAGATGGACATTGACTCTTATAAACGTAAGGCACCCTCGTAGATCCAAGGTATGTTCTATCTTGTGAGTTATTGAGATTTAGCTATTTGAGCTGTTGTTTATTGTGAGATAAGTGACTGACTTAATCGTCGGAGTGTCCCCGGATAGATGAGTCACCGTGGTATTCTTATCTTTTTGCTTTCAAGTGTTGGGCTTAATCTATTATGTCATATGCTCTCCAGCTAAGTTTCAAAGATCTCGGCCAAGAGATCTGATTGGTTGTGAGGTCAGAAATCAATACTCACAATTTGGCATCGTCTGTGGGAACTTAGCAAGGATAGATAAATAATGTCGGGCAGGAAATAAGAGTTGAGGATGACTTGTACACCGAAGACGAGAAGCGTGTCGATCCCAACGTCGTGGGAGACGACAAAGAGGAAGTGTAGGAAGTAGATCCAAGAACGAACACCGTCGAGGGCTATGCCAGCCAAAAAAAGGGTAACGATGACTATTATAGCGTGCGCTACTTCTAGATCTAGAAGAAGCGTTGTATGCAAAGGGACAACGAAGTAAAGGAACAGGCAAGTAAACTGACATACTTGCAATCAGTAGTGAACTTCATGATGCATAGCAAGGTAATGCACTAGGCGTTGCCTCTACGGGAAACACCACCAGCTACAATAAACATTGGCACCTCACAAGGGGAGCAGGTCACGATCCCGGCCATCCCACAACATGGCAGGAGGTTTTCGAACTCACCCCGGCGTTCTCAACACAGTACAAGTTGATCCAAGAAGAGAAGAATCCCAGAGGGTGGAGGATCCCAAATCAGGAGATCTCGGCAAGGAAATGGACAAGGCCACTGCCTAGAAAAAATTGTGGAAGTTGAGAGATCTAAAAGGACACACCCGCGCATTGCCAGTAGCATGCTGAAGAGAATGAAGTTGATTGATAGTAGAGGACTAGGACGAACAAGTGAGGACTTGAGGGATTATCTCCAGAGAAAAAAGAACGGAGCCGAGGTCATGTCAGCTGCCCAACCGAAATCACCATTCTCAATAGACCTTGATGCATTTGAAGCACCAAAGAGGTTTTCCATGCCTAGATTCCAGGTATACGACGATAAATCTGATCCAAACTTTCATGTTTGTCAATATTTGAATGCAATGTCCTTGTGGAGTGGGAATGAACAGTTGTTGTGTAAGGTTTTTCCGTCAACCTTTGGAGAGATAGCTTCATACTGGTTCCTAACGTTATCAAAGGGATTAGTCAAACGTTGTGAAGGCCTAGTCGAGATGTTCATGGCCAGATTTGTGACAAACAGACTGCAGCCTTTGAGGGTCGATTCCCTATTGGCATTAAAGATTGACAATGGCGAAAGTCCTAAGGTTTATGCCAAGAGCCATTATGGGGTTTACAACTGGATCTCGACTTGTAACTAGGAATTGGTGGTTGTTTCTTTCAAGAACGGCCTAGAGGAAAGACTGCCCACTTCGGCAATCCCTTGCCAAGACCCTCCCCAAAAACATGAAGGATCTGATAGCAAGGATTGAGAAGTATGTCAGGGCTGAGGAAGACAAGAAGTCAAAGAAAACGAGCACAATGAAACAGGAGAAGAGAAATGGCTCACCCAAGTGAGGCTGAAGTGGGGGCCAATGCATAGCATGGTAAGCTAAGGCTGAAATCCATGCAAGCACTTTCCACAATCTTTAAGATACCGATCTACAGGATCATTGAGAGAATCAAGAACCAACCCTATTTTAGGCAACCACAGAAGATTCCAGAGGAGCCCATGGTAAATTTCGTGACAAAAATCGTGCTTACCATGATGAAGCAGGGCACATGACCCAAGGGTGCCGAGTTTTGAAACAATTGCTAGAGGACCTTGTAAGGTAAGAGCATTAAAGGGACTTGGTGGACAAGGAAAAGACGATGGCAGAACAGGCGAAACTGGCCTAGGCACTGGCAGAAACACCACCACCTCCACCAGCACCCTAGGGAGATAGACCACGAGTCAGTAACATGATCTACTCCATGGTCAACGTGAGTGAAATCTAAGGAGAGATGCAGAAAGTTAGAAATCTACAACATGTCCTCCAAGTTCAACAGAAGAAACCCTATACAGGGAGAAGTCGAGGGTCGACGATCTCCTTAACGGAAGAAGACCTAGAGGTAGTCCAGCATCCACACAATGATGCTCTGGTGGTGACTTTGAAGATCAGAGAGTGCCAAGTCAGAAGGATACTCGTTGACCAAGGCAGCTCCTGCGACATCATGTATGTCCAATTTTACAGGGAGCTTGGCCTTCATAGAGACGATCTGGAGCAGTCCAATAGCCCCATGGTCGGGTTTAATGGGACGTTGACATAGCCCCTTGTAACCACGTATTTGGAGGTTTAGGTTGGGACAAAGATCATAGTGATGAATTTCACCATGATTGACACACCATCCCCATACAACATTATTTTTGGTAGACCTTGTTTGCATGCCATGAAAGCTATCCCATCTACCTTGTATCAACTGCAGCAATTCCTAATGGAGTTTGGGATTAAGGAGATAAGAGGGTATCAGGTTCAAGCAAAAAATTGTTCGATGGCCACGATGAAAAACACTTGTAATGTAAGAGAAGTAAAGACAGCCGAAGTGGAAAATGAAAGCCGAGTAATCTTGGATGATGTCAGCAAAGAGCCGACTAAAAAAAAGCTAAGAATCTCTTAAAAGATCCTGGTAAAGGAAGGCAATGAGGAGAGATACTTCCTTCTCGACTCAGGCTTAGTTGAGGAAGAAGACAAGAAGTTGGAGGCGTTCTTAAGGGAGAACATAGAGGTGTTCACCTAGACACCATACGAGATGCCGGTGATCAATCCTGAGGTCACCTGTCACAAACTTAATGTGAACAAGTCGGCTAAGCTAGTAATTCAAAGAGCAAGAAGACCAACTATCATTTATGTAGAAACCGTGGAGGAGGAAGTGGAAATGATGTCGGAAGCAAAGGCAATCCAATAAGTGAACTACCCGACATGGTTGTCAAACACGATGGTAGTCAAAAAGAAGAATGGGAAGTGGAGGGCTTGCATTGACTTCACAAGCCTGAACAAGGCTTGCCCGAAAGACTGCTTCCCTTTGCCCAAGATAGACCAACTGGTAGATGCCACCTCGGGACATGGAAAGATAAGCTTTCTTGATATGTACAGAGGTTATCATCAGATAGCCATGTTCGTACCGGATGAAGGGAATACGACATTCATCACTCCAAAGGGACTCTACTATTACCAAGATGTTCAAAGACTAGTAACCAAGATATTCAAACATCTAATTGGGAAGACC